TGCCTTCTCACAGCATTTGGACCGTACCATGGTTTACTGTATAAAGGTGACCCCTTGTAGCGTTATGGTACAATCCATCTGAGGCAACATGGCTACCGTCTTTCATGGTTGTGCGGAGGGTGTTATTTTCGTTTCCCCCCCAAATGTTGCCTACTGTTGTTAGCCAGATTGTACATGTAGGTCAACTCGCCCCCTGGCCGACTCGCCCCTTACCAGCTCGCCCCTGACCAACTCGCCCCATGACCGACTCGCCCCCGAGCCGACTCGCCCCTTACCAACTTGCCCCTTAGCCAACTCGCCCCCTTACCGACTCGCCCACTGACCAACTCGCCTCCTGACCAACCCGCCCCCTTAAGTTTGCCAAGCACGTATGGCCGGCCCATTCACCATTTTAAAAAAATACAATCAGTCAGAGATGGAATCGGTGATTGCTGCCCTTAAAAATGGGTTCTTGGGTTTGCAGCTGGCACTCAAAGTTGAGTTTGTTTAAAACTCGGTAGATATTCCCTTTGTGTGAAATTGGGGGTAACAATATTTTTTTTTATATTGGTAAAACTAATTCAGTATTATCGTGTGTATGGGCCATGGCGCAGCGTTTCCTGTGTATTGTCTATGGGATTTCGTGCGGCACAACACCAACACCCTACCATATTAATTAACTTTGCGAACTATTTCAGATAAAAAAATGGTACATATTAGGCATAATGCCTGGCGACGCAAACCTACGGAAGTGTTAAGGAGACACGATTTATGACAAAGGGTGTAACAGTCGCTACACACTTTCAGGTTCCGATAACTTCACAGGATGCATTTATTAGTTCACAATTAACACAAAATACTGATTTATTCGGCGAGTACAGTCATCAAGGATCACATTATTGATCGGCCATATTGAATTATATCCCAGCATACACTGTCGGTGTCATGACGTCAGGGAAAAACAGTCATGTCATCTGGTGCCCGTTACTTGTAAACAAATTAAGAGCACTCTCAGAGATATTCAATTCCAAAGAAGGAAAAAAAATTAATAATGGGGCGTTAAAAATTGACATTAGTGTACAATGTACCACTATGACTTTATACATCACACAAAAAGCATATATACAAGAACCTAAATCAATTTTCGCGGTATATGTGAGGTCCCA